TTGTTGTTACTATGGGGATTACTTCTATCATGGTATATAGAAACTTTGTTTACATTGATACAAACTTGACTTCAATAACATACAAACGCTACTCCGATACTTTCCATCCCCCTTTATGTTGTTGATATCACAAACAGTATTTTTATATATTATGTACCCAATGTGTTTATTATTTATGTTTTTATGTTATATATATATAGAACTTAAAAAATATATAGTAAAGCCTATGAAAGTTGGAATCTGTGTAAGGTGAAAACCTGTCAGAGAAGGAAAGCTTAATTATTTTCCACTAATAGAGATAGAAAAGTGGTAAGACTGTACCCTGTCAAAGGCAGAAGACTTGTGAGATCTGGAAAAATAGGCAGTACTGTTGAATACCAATTCTCACAAAATTAATTGTGGTTCAACCAAACATACATCAAAACTAACCTTTATATTTGGCCTTGAAATTACTAAAGACTGTTATTTCGTCATATAGCTTTGAGTTATTATCTAGTGTCTTCACCTACTAGTCTCTACCCAGTTATTGCTGAGTTAGTTATAACTCATGGCAATCACATATACACCCAGAGTTGTGTTCCATAGGATTTTCCAATGGTTGACTTTCCATAAGTAGATTGCCAGGCCTGTTTTCCGAGGTACCTCTGGGTAGACTTGAACCTTCCAACTATCAATTAGTAGTCAAGCATATTAACCATTTGCACCATCCAGGAACTCCACCCATTTCTTTTAGAGCAGGTCTAGCGTAGTGGCTACGAATCGGGCTGTGAACCGCAAGGTCAGCAGTTCGAAACTACCAGCTGCTCCGCGGGAGAAAGATGAGGCGTTCTGCTCCCGTAAAGATTAACAGCCTTGGAAACCCTGTGCAGGGTCGCTATGAGTCGGAACCGACTCCACAGCACATAACAACAACAATTGGTTATAGTTATTTAGCCTAAGCTGTTATTGATATTAGATGTCTTAATTTTTGTTTTTGAAAGACAGTTTTGCTGGATATAGGATTCCTAGATGATAGTTTTTGCTTTCAACTCTTTGAATATATTATCCCCTTGCCTTTTGATCTTCATAGCTTCTAAGAAGAAATCAACATTTAGTCCTTTTACATGGCTGTTTGCTTTCATTTTGCTTCTTTGAAAATTATTTTTCATAGTTTGATTATAATTTGTCTTAGTGTGGATCTTCTTGGGTTTACCCTACTTGTAGTTTGTTGAGCTTCATGTATGTGCCAAACATATTTCTCATAAAACTGGAAGGTCATTATTTCTTCAAATATTCTTCATGTTTCTTTTTCTTTCTCCTCTCTTTTTAGAAGGAGTCCTGGTAGTGCAGCAATTAAGAGCTCAGTTACTAACTGAAAAGTTGGTGGTTCAAACCCAATAGGTGCTCCAGTGGAGTAAGATATTGCAGTCTGCTTCCATAAAGATTGCAGCCTTGGAAACTCTATGAGTCAGTTCTACTAAGTCCTAGTGGGTCACATTGAGTCAGAATCAATTTGATAGAAAGGGTTAATTCTCCTACTGGGACTCCCATAATGCATATATGTTTATATGTTTAATGGTGTCATACAAATCTCTTATGCTCTGTTCTTTATCCTTTAATCTTTTTTTTTCTGTTCCATAGACGGAATCATTTTAAAGTTCATGGATTCTCTCTTTTGTCAGCTCAAATATGATGTTCAGTCCCTCTAATGAATTTTCATTTCAGTTATTGTACTTTTAAACTCCAGAATTTGTTTTGTTTCCTTTTGTAATTAACATCTCTTTAGAATTTTAATTTTGTATGTTTCCTTGATTTCTTTCAGTTTTTTAAAAAATATTTAAATCAGTTGTGTTAAAATGTATATCCAGTAGATCCAATGTCTGTTCTTCCTAAAGGATGATTTATTTTATCTAATTTTATTTAGTTCCTTTGAATTGGCCATCCTTTCCTGTATTTTTTTTTTTTTTTAGAAAAGAACATTTGACTACAGTATTTCTAGAACTCAGGTTCTTCCCTTCCTCAGGGTTTGCTAGATTTCTCTTTTCTTCAAACCTTCCTTCTTTCCTTTCAGCTTCTCTCTTCCTTCCTTTTTTTTTTTTAAATGTGGTAGTACATTGATTCAGTAACTTTTCCAATCATTTTTTACAGAAACAAATAGAAGTAAAATTATTTTTTGGGGAAAAATATTTGCAGTCTTTACAGAATGGGTCTATATTCGGGCAATCAATAACCATGCTTAGACTGAGCCAGGAGACCCATCTAAAGAAAAAATTTAAGATTACCTCAGTTCTTTCTGGGTATGCTTCTTGTCCTGGGCATGCATGTGGCTCTTAAATTACACATTCAGGTGCCCTTATATGCCCCAATTTCCCAAGGGAATACTTCCCAATGATTTTGACCCTACTTGCCCCAGGTGGCTGTGACTCCTAAGTTCCCCTTGTAGTGTTGCAAGTTATGCCTGCTGCTTTACTTCACTAAGTGAAGTACAGCCTACTCATCTGCTGTAATTATCTCTCTGAAAAAAATTAACTGTCAAGGAAGAGTTCTCATGTTTCTTAGGCAGGATGTATATGTTGGACTGCTAACTGCAAGGTCAGTTGTCTGAATCCACCAGCCTCTCTGTGGGAGAAAGATGAGGCTTTCTGCTTCCATAAAGATTTACAGCCTCAGAAACCCTATCGAAGGTCGCTGTGAGTTGGAACCAACTCCAAAAGCACACCATCACCGACACCAAATGACCTCCAAAATGTGTGAGAAAGAGACAAACACTTTCCTTTACTGCTTTCTTAATAAAATGAAAAGATTCCAAGCTGGAAATGTGGCTGCTGCTTCTAGTCAGCTTCCAGTGTAGGCAGTCTCAGAGTCTTCCTAAAAGTCTTATTTATGCTGTTGTTGTGAAGTGCCGTTGAGTTGGTTCCGACCCATAACTGTATAGGGTTTCCTAGGAGCAGGTGGTGAGCTTGAACTGCCACCCTTGCAGTTCAAATGGCTTTGCAGTCTGGCGTATTAACCCACAGTGCCACACCAGTACTCCAAATACAGATGGCATAATTCTCCAACTATTCACCAGAGTTCTGTCATTTCCTGCCTTAAACTCCTCCTGGTGAGAGGACAGGAGCATGGGGGTTCTTTCTCTGCCACTTTGGTTTTGGTATCAGGCTCCACATTTTGAAAGGAAAAGTTCAAATAATTTGTGAACATATTTTCAAACTACCACAGCATCTCAAGCAAAAAGATAGAAGGTAGGGGGCAAAAAGACAAAAGGCATTGCTTTTCTAGCTGTTCATGCTTTCTCAGAAAATGTAGTCCATTTCCCATTACATCTCCTTGGCCCAAACTTGGCCAATGTCTATTTCCAGACCAATTCATAATAAATGGGATGGGATTATCATACTCAATTTAGGTCAGACATTATTCATCCTTTGGGGCTGGGAGATAGGCCTACCTACAGTGAGCACTTGGAGTCCTGGTGTGGCGCTGCAGGTAAATGCGTTGGACTGCAAGGTCGGTTTGAATAGCAAGGTTGGTGGTTCAAACTCATTAGTCAATCCCCGGAAACCCTATACAGAGTCACTATGAATCGGAACCGACTTGATGGCACTTAGCAACAACAACAGTGAGCACTTATCACTGGTCCAATACCCAATCAACTCAGGTTTCTGTTAGCACATGGAAGGTGGTAGGTGGAGAATGACATCAGTAGTCAAGAGTGACTACAACAAATGACTTCTTAATGTTTAGATTAAAACCCAAATTTTTAACGTGGTTATTAGGCATAAAGGATTTGACACCTGTTTACCTTGCCTCAATACCATAATCTTGAATCTCTCTCTTTCTCACTCTATTTTCCAGGAACACTAAACTTTTGATGTTGTTTCAGGCTCCATCACATCTTAGGATCTTTACTTCCCTGCTGTTGCTCAACATTCAGATCTTTAGTGGATAAAGCATGATGATTTTTCTGAGCTTCAATGTTCTCACCTGAACAATATAGATAATAGGACCTACATCACAAAGCTATTTTTAGGAGTAAATGAGTTATGTATTTTCAGCTGCTAGCACAGTGTGTGATATAAGGTATTAAGTGCTCAGTAACTAGCATCTAAGGAGCTCTGGTAGCGTAGTGGTTACGAATCGGGCTGCGAACCTTCAGGTCAGCAGTTCGAAACTACCAGCTGTTCTGCGGAAGAAAGATGAGGCTTTCTGCTCCCGTAAAGATTTACAGCCTGGGAAACCCTGTACAGACTCACTATGAGTCTGAACTGACCCGACAACACTTAAGAACAACAAAATGTTTGCTAATAACATCAATTCTGTCGTGACTAGGGCAATTATAGTGCGTTTTTGTATTAAAAAAGGGTGAGGGCCTGACCTTTTCTGACTTTGTAGAAGTACCGATTATTAACTAAGATTTCTTAGAAGTGTAACAGAACAGAATTTGATGAGTCAGGAAACCGAGAAACCTAAAAGGAGGTGACATTTGCCTTAATTCTGGTAGGGATATTGGGAATTCCATGGGGGTGGGGAGTGAGTGGTGTTGTGAGCCATTTTAAGCTGCTGCAGTAGACCCGACTCAAGGGAAAAAGGGTGGAGACGGTTGGTGGTGGTGACGGCGGCGGCGGCAGCCTAGGCCCTAGCACACTCTTTTCACTTCCTCATTGCAGTCCCACCCTGCTCCTTTTTCCTCCACCTACAGGTCAGGGGGCTCCGCCTCCCCACTCTTGGGCTTAGTCACGAAAGTTCCGCCGCCGACCGCTTGCTGCGTGCTGGACGTGACAAGTGGAAGCAGCACCCCTCCAGCAGTCAGCCAATGGTCCCTTTGAGCCCCGTCCAATGGTGGCTGCTTTTCTCTTTGCGCAAGGCGCTTCCGGCCAGGAAAGGGCGGAGCGGTAGGAGGAGCGTCAAGAAGCCCCAGGTCTGACCTGCTTCTCTTTCCACACGTTTCTCCTGCGCTCCTAGGCTGTTGCAGCTCGCAGTCTCTTTGTGCCCCCCGAGCAACTCGTCTTTGCTGTATTGCCAAGATGTCTCTTTCTAACAAGCTTACTCTGGAGAAGCTGGACGTGAAAGGAAAGCGAGTGGTCATGAGGTAATTCTACACGTTTTACCCGCGCGCCCTCCGGGCTGGTCAGAGTCCGCTGCCTGTCTGCCTAAAGTTGCTTTAGTTCTCTGCTGCGTCCCAGGGGGCCTAGGTTTGTCTGTTGAGGCTGCCCTCTTTTGTGACTGAGGCTGGGCCAGTGTTTGACTGGTTGTGCCCGTATTTCCAGCAGCCCAGAAAGCAGGCCATAGTGCTCTGTGGGGTTATATCACACCGGGGAAGGGCTCAGATTGACGGGACCCATTTTGCTTTCTTTTCCTATTCCAGAAATGCAGTTCCACCACCTCCAGTTACCAGTCAGCGAGATGGGACCAAATACTTATCTTACAAACCCCTAGGCCTAAGGAAGGGACCTTGAAAGGTCATCGTGTTAATTTCCCTTCCCCCACTGCTCTAGACCATCTCAGAGAAAATGCCCACATTTCCAAGGTTCCGTCTCAAAAGAAATTCGTCTTTAGAGGATAGGATATTGATTTAAATGTTTAGGATTGAACCACTCCTAAAAGTTGGGGGAGGAGCCCTAGTGGCGCACAGTTAAAGCGCTTTGGTAGCCGAAAGATGGGAATTCCAACCCACCAATCTCTTCACCGGTGTGAGATGTGGCAGTGGCTTTGGTAAAGATTTGCAGCATTCTCGTATAGGTGTGTTTTGAGCCTGAATCCACTAGAGGGCAATGGGGAGGGAGGTTGCGGCGGAAGGGTGAGGTGGGGTGGACACACCAGAGTAGGCCCCTCAGAGCTTATGTAACAGGCCTCTGTTGTGCTGTCCTGTCTTTGGAAACCAGACGATGGGGTTTGCGTCAGGGTTATTAGACATTGTTAATGGTAGAACAGGGTGTAGCTGCTCATTCTTCCAATCTCACCCCCACGTTTGGCTATAGAAGCAGCATATTTGAAGAACTCCACATGCACTTGGGGTCTCTTAATGTGCTCATGGGAGTTCTGGTGTGGCGCTGTGGGTTAATGCGTTGGACTGCAAAGTCGGTTTGAACCGCAAGGTCGGCAGTTCAAGCTCACCAGTCACTCCTTGGAAACCCTATACAGGGTCGCTATGGGTCGGAATCGACTTGGTCTCACTTCACAACAATAACACATGTCCACATGTGGAGCCCTGGTCACTTAACCAAATGTGGTTTCTCCTTTATCTTCCAGAATTACTAGTATGGGGTATGAAACTATTACATGTATCCTTTTAGTAATATGCATAGGTGAATGCCAGGGACACATTGCAGGAGAATAGTTCAGTATATAACTGGTGGACTTGATTGCTTATATACAGGATCCAAGGCTAGGGGTTTGGGGGGACCAAAAGTTTTTGCATTATAGCACTATGTATGTAGTCTTGTTCTTTTTGGAAAGTGGTTGACTGATGGGCAGGTATGTACTCAGTATGGTGTGATCCAGCTACTTTCCCAGTTTGTGCAGGTTCAAGTAAGGGCATCTTTTGGATATTAACAGACACATAAGCTAGCAGGAGATCACCCCTTACCCTAGCCTTAAACACATCAGGACTCTTACGAGTTAGAGAGGGCACCCTAAGAGTTCACGTAGCTCTCCCCTTGCCTTGAATTTCATTATGACCAATATGAGGTTGAGCCAACTTTGCTTTGCTAGATATTCATAAGAATCCAGTAGCTTATGGACATGAGAAACACCTGTGTTCACATGTTCCCAAATGACATGAACTTTTATAATCTGGATAAAGTAGGAATCACAGTCATGCTAGTGTTAGATAAGGCCTTTTATGGTCTTAAGAAGTCCTGGTGTGACGCTGTAGGGTAAACACTGGACTGCTAACCACAATGTTAGCGGTTTAAATCCATCAGCTTCTCCTTGAAAACCCTATACAGGGTCGTTATGGGTCTACCCTGACTGGACGGTATTTAACAACAATATGGTCTTCAGAGGAGCCCTGGTAGTGCAATGGGTTAAATGTCGGGTTGCTAACTAAAAGGTTAGCGGTTTGAATCCACCAGCTAATCCTCCAAAGAAAGATGAAGCAGTTAGCTACTGTAAAAATTTGTTGTTAAGTGCCATTGAGTCTGGTCTAACCCATAGTGACCCTGTATAGGGTTTCTGAAGAGCAGCTGGTGAGCTTGAACCGCCGACTTTGTGTGGTTCAAACCAACGTTTCAGTCTAGCATATTAATCCGCAGCACCACACCAGGAATACCCATAAAGATTTACAGCCTCAGAAACCCAAGGGAGCAGTTCTACTCTGTCCTATAGAGTTGCTCTGAATCGGAGTCGACTTGATGGCAGTGGGTTTGGTGTGTGTTTTTTTTGTTTTATGGTCCTCAGACAACCTTAAGGAAGGGAATTGTTACTGCTGTTGCTAGTTGCAAGTTGCCATTGAGTCAGCTCTGAATATCAGTATATAACAGATTGAAACATTGCCTGGTCCTGTGCCATCTTCATGATTAGATGTTAAACCCTGTGAAAAACAAAGGACAGGTGGACATTTGCATGCAATCAGCCCTTAGGGTTTAATTGTTTTCTCCACATCTCCACTGTTTTCAAGGTCATGTCTTAACCTTTCTAGATGCATGCACCAACTGAAAGAAAGGGATGGGGCACAATCCTGGTCACCTTCCTATAATTGCAGACTTTGGCTTTCATCTTCAGGGAAGCTGACTTGAATTAACTGGGCTTGGAGGTGGGCTTGGAGGAGGTACTTCTCTTTTCTCCCTCTGGACCTATGTCAGGAAATAGTTTTCTTCATTTAGCACAGATTAACTCAGCCTTGATGTGATTGACTAGACCTGTTTTGCTGTTGAAGCTGACCGGTCCAAGTTCATTGAACTGGCAAGTTGTTGGCATAGCTAGGTCTAGAACTTGGGTCTTCTGACTACCAATCAGATCCTCTAAATACTTAGACGTAGTGAAATAAACCCTTTCTCTGCTGAAGGTTGTGATCAGTAAAAAATTTCCCAGTAATATCTGGGTAATTTTTTTTTGGGGGGGGAGGGATGCTAAGGACAGAAGGTTACTTTGTTCCCTGATTATTAATGTGTCTCATTGGAACAGAAAGTCTCCATATTGTACAATTACTTTTTGGAAGAATTCAGGCTGCTTTGCTGTGCCAGTACAATTCCTTTTTGTTTCAATGACTTTATGTGGTGGTGGTTGGCAGTGTTTCAGAAATGGGGACTCCTGAGTTGTGGCTGCTTCAGTTACCTCTGTTTGCCCTATGAAAGGGAATCTGGTGTTTGCTGAATTTTCTGGTCCCGTGGTGATTTGTTGAGGAAATGTTCAAAGCTAGAAATCTCTGACTGATTTCCACCTCACTTTTTAACCCTTAACACTTTTAGGGGAGTCAACTTCCTGCTTATTTTTGTGATGTAAATTTCCTTTCTTTCACAGGTTGCCTGCCTTGGCCCCTTTGCCTGTTTTTAAAACTTCCCTTTTGTTTTTCTCTAATGTGTTGTAACCTGTTAAGCAACAGCCTTGCTCTTGTGGACAGAAAAGCAGAGGCAAAACTGAACAACAAAACAAACAAAAAGACTCTAACACAGGCATAATGTTGTGTGCTGTTGATCTTATTTCAACTCATAGCAACCTGCATAAAAGAGTAGAACTCCATAGGGTTATTTAAGCTGTAATCTTTACAGGACCAGATGGCCACATCTTTTATCCTGTGGAACTAACTACTGGTGGGTTACAACTAGGGGCATTTCTGTTAGCAGCTGTATGCTTAACCATTGTACAACAAGAGCTACTTAACATAGACATACAAGGGAACTATAAAAAGTTGGTGGAAAAATTACATTATCTTTTAATTTAATTTTTCCAGGAACTTTTTGAGGCTCCCTTATAATACAAAACCAGAAAATTGACATCACCCAATGTGTGTGTATACTTGTATGATATTTTATTACATTTGCATTTTTTTTATTGCATTTGCTTTTGTCAAGTGCCGATGAGTCGGTTTTGACTCATAGCAACCCTGTATAGGGTTTCCGAAGAGCAGCTGGTGGGTTTGAACTGCTAGTCTTGTGGTTCACCGATCCTACAATGCCACACCACTGCAATCAAGATACAGGACTGTTCTTTTGTCATAAAATTGCCCTCGTGTAGTCACAGCTCTCTCTCTTCACTCCCAAGTGGTACCCTGTCCATAACCCCTGTTGTTAAGTGCTGTTGAATTGCTGGCTGCACCAGGACCCCTGGTCACTACTAATTTGTTTTTCATTTTTAAAGTTTTGTCATCTCAAAAATGTTATATAATTGGAACCGTGTAGTATGTATTCTTTGGGGGTTGGCATTTTTCACTCAGCACCATTCCCTTAGGAGTCCTGGTGTGGCACTGTGGGTTAATGGATTGAAAAGTTAGTTTGACCTGCAAAGTGGGCAGTTCAAGCTCACCAGCTGCTCATCAGAAACCCTATACAGGGTAGCTATGGGTTACAACTGTCTCAACGGCACTTAACAACAACATTCCAAGTTATGGGTAGACCACAGTTGGTTTAACCATTTACTCGCTGAAAAATATTTGAGTTATTTCCAGTTTTTGACTGTTACAAATAAAGCTGCTGTGAACATTCATGGTATAAACATAACGGTGGTTGACTCATACAGACTCCATTTGAAAAATTGCCAGACTGTTTTCTAAAATAGCTGTACCATTTTATATTCCACCAGCAATATATGAGTAATCGGTTTATCTGTGGATTTTCCAACACTTTTTTTTCATTTTATCCAATCTTGATAAGTGTATGTAATGACATATGACTTTCTTCCTGGGGCAAAGCTCAGGAGTGTTTCAGGGTAGTGGGAAAGGAAGGAGTGTCTATTTCAGACAAAGTTGGAGTAAGTGTATGGGCAAGATCAGTTCTTGTGGTGGCCTCCTTAACCCACCAAATCCCAATCCACTGCCATCTAGTTGATTCCATCTCTCAGTGATCCTATAGGATGGTAGAGAACTGCACTGTAGCATTTCCAGGCTGTACTCTTTACAGAAGCATCTTTCGCCCATAGAGAGACTGGGGTTCTGTCAACCATTTGGTTTGTAGCCAAGTGTTTTAACCACTGTGCCAATAGGCCTTCTTTGCACTCCTCACAGGAGAAGCTAAAACCCAGCTATTGAGAATCCATCTGAAATATTTCTGTCTAGGCCTTGCATGACAGTAAGAGTTGCAGCTGGTAGGTAAGGAGTAATACAGATTTGCATTTCATTCCGATTCCTTTCATTACGATTACTGGATCTTTGTAAAACTAGGATCATACAAAACAAAATGTTAACTGAAAAAATAAAATACCATTTGGTTTGTAGCCAAGTGTTTTAACCACTGTGCCAATAGGGCTTCTTTGCACTCCTCACAGGAGAAGCTATTGAGAATCTTGGAGATGAAGAGATTCACTTTTCTCAGTAAACTGATGCCATGGCAACTTGGAAGATGAGATAGATTTTTGAGTATTTCTGCTCAAACAAGTTTCATTTGGGAGTAGGGAACAGTACTACAAAGGGTAGCTTGTGCTCACTCTCATGCCTTTAGCTCTTTTGACCTTGGGGCTTCTAAGAGGCTACATGTAGGAAAATGACCCATGGTAATGGAATACTCTGTCTTCTTTGGAATGCACTTTAAGGCTGGCAGCATCCTTGTTCAGGATATTTAAAGAAGATACTTAGAATCAGAACCAAGTGGCCTCATACCCATGATCACTCACTAAGGGAATATGGGAAACCGCTAGAGGAAAGATGGAGATTTATGATCAAGGATAGCATACCTTCCCCATACTTCCTTACGTGAGTAATGATAAATGTTTATAGTAATGGTTGATCTTACCTTTTAAATCACAGAATTACAGTTTGGAGAAGTATTAACATATACAATAATAGCTAACACTTATGACACGTATCCTGGGTGGTGCAAATGGTTAAGCACTTGACTGATAACTGAAAGGTTGACAGTTTGAAGGCACCCAGAGGCATCTCAGCAGAAAGGTCTGGTGGCATTTCCAGAATGCTTGAAAATCCTGTGGATCACAGTTCTGCTCTGACACATGGGGTTACCATGAGTCAGTATTAACTTGATATTGTTGTTAGCTACCTTCGAGTCAGTTCCGACTCATAAAAACCCTGTATAGAGTTTCTGAGGAGTGACTGGTAAGTTTGAACCACTGATTTTGTGGTTCAAGCCGACCTTGCAGTCCAATGCTTATCCTGTTGCGCCACACCAGGACTCCATAGCAACTGTGGTTTTTTGTTTATTGGGTTTTTTTTGGTGTGTGCAAGTAATTTTCTAAGCTGATTGTACTGTCTTAATCACTTACCTTCTAATTGCATATATCCAGTGGTTAGGGTCACATGTCCTACCCTCTCCTTTGGTCCTTTTCTTTTTTGCTTTAAGGCTACTGTGTGAATATGGTACTAGACACTAGTTTTCTTCCTAGGTTTGAGGCCCCAGACTTTCTCCAAAAATATTATTTTCTTGGTGTATTTTATTTTTTGAAGCCTACTTATGTGTAAATCATACTTTTAAAAAGAAGTTTGAAAAATTAAATAAAAGTTTAAAAATATATATACATAATATAACTTCAGGGTCAGTTGCTGTGATATGTTATATTATGTATATATATTTTTAAACTTTTATTTAATTTTTTTAAACTTCTTTTTAAAAGTATGATTTACATATAAGTAGGCTTCAAAATTTTGTGGACAAATGGAATTAAAAGATAATGGAATTTTCCACAAACTTTTTGAAGCTCTCTTGTGCTTTAAAGGATACAAATCATAATCTCTAAGAATTATAACATTAAAAACTTATGTGCATCAAAAGACTTCACCAAAAGAGTAAAAAGGGAACCCACAGAATGGGAAAAAATCTTTTGCAACGACACATCAGATAAGGGACTCATTTCTAAAATATATAGGAAACTACAACACCTCTACAAGAAAAGGACAAATAGCCCAATTAAAAAATGGGCACAGGATATGAACAGACACTTCACCAAGGAGGAGATCCGGGCAGCCAACAAACATATGAAGAAATGTTCACGATTACTAGCCATCAGAGAAATGCAAATCAAAACAACAATGAGCTATCATCTCACACCAGCAATAACAGCAAAGATCAAAAAAGTAGAGGACAATAAATTCTGGCGAGGATATGGAGAGACTGGGACCCTCCTACATTGTTGTGGGATTGCAAAATGGTCCAACCACTCTGGAAAGCAATATGGCGCTTCCTCAGAAGGTTGGAAATAGAAATACCTTCTGATCCAGCAATTCCTCTACTTAGTATTTACCCACAAGAAATATGAGCCATAACACGAGTAAATATATGCACACCAATGTTCATAGCAGCACTATTTACAATAGCAAAAAGATGGAGACAGCCTAAATGCCCATCAACTGAAGAATGGATAAACAAACTGGTATATACAAACAATGGAATATTATACTACCTTGAAGAATAACAAGGAAGCTGCAAGCCACCGCATAACATGAATGAACCTTGAGGACATTCTGTTGAGTGAAATTAGTCATTCACAAAAGGAGAAATACTGCATAGGACCATATTATAGGTTTGGGAAACCCAATTATAACAAAATAAGTACATTTTTGTAATTTAAACCCAAAAAACTCACTGCCTTCAAATCCATTCTGACCCATCATGACCTTATAGAACCCACTTGCTGATCCATGGGAGAACAATGAGATAGTCTGCTTCCATAGGGTTTCTCATGTTGTAAATCTTTATGGAAGCAGACTGTCTCATTGTTCTCCCATGGATCAGCAAGTGGGTTCAAACTGCCGACCTTTCTGTTAGCAGCCCAATGCTCAACCCACTGTGCTACCAAGTTTCCTCCACCCAGTTCAAAGGTTCCTTAATAGGACTTTACTAGAAGCTCTTCTTGGTACCCTATTCTAGTCACTACTCCCAACTTTCTTTTCGTGACTAACCACTATCTTGACTTCTCTTAATTATTTTCAAGGTGTTTTGAACTTCATGCCTCTTCTACTCTGAGGGAAGAGTAAGTTGGTCATAGCCCTTAACCTGAAACTTTTTTTTTTTTTTTTTTTTTAGAGTGGACTTTAATGTCCCTATGAAGAACAACCAGATAACAAACAACCAGAGGTAAGATACCACTTATCCTTGGGCTGGGTTCCCATATGTGAATATGGTTCCTATATGAGGTATAGGAGTATAGGATTAAAAGGCTTTTTTTTCCCTTTTTATTATAGAATGAATGCAATTTAAGCATATGATCTTGGCTTTCTACCAACCCACTTTCTGATCCACTTTCTTATGAATAAATTGAAATGAATTTTTTTACTTTCTTAATGTATGAGCTCTGGTAGTGTAGTGGTTACGAATCGGGCTGTGAACCGCAAGATCAGCAGTTCGAAACTACCAGCTGTTGCGTGAGAGAAAGATGAGGCTTTCTGCTCCCGTAAAGATTTACAGCCTCGGAAACCCTGTACAGGGTCGCTAAGAGTTGGAACTGACTCCACGGCACATAACAACAACAATGTATGAGAATGTAGAAATTACCCTATTAGTTGTAGAACTGAGAACCACTTAGAAAGCCAAATTCTCAGATACTAGCTAAGGGCCAATCTGCAAATAGGTTTTTCTAAAGTTTGCAACTTCAGGCCTACCCAGTTGACTTGTTTTTGTACAAGGGGTAAATTCATGATGAGATTGTAGTATCCTAGGTGGAGGACTGACATCAGATTTAACTTTTTCTCTGAATGGAATATGAGAGGACTACCATTGAGTACATTTGAAGGAATTTGGAGAAGAAAAAGGACCTAATGTTTTATAGGGTCACAAATAAAACAGTAACCACTAATTCCTGGGAGTAACCTTGCTTTTTCTGCTGTCTTCTTTTGGTTGCAGGATCAAGGCTGCCATCCCGAGCATCAAATTCTGCTTGGACAATGGAGCCAAGTCAGTTGTTCTTATGAGCCACCTTGGCCGGCCTGATGGTGTCCCCATGCCTGACAAATACTCCTTAGAGCCAGTTGCTGTAGAACTCAAATCTTTGCTGGGCAAGTAAGTGCCAGGCTGTAGTGATTTTGGATTTTATGGCAGGAGTATGTTGTTTTGATTCTTAACATTCAGATTGCTTAAGTCTGTTCTATCTCTTGCTCTTCTCAGGGATGTTCTTTTCTTGAAGGACTGTGTGGGTCCAGAAGTAGAGAAAGCCTGTGCTGATCCAGCTGCTGGTTCTGTCATCCTGCTGGAGAACCTTCGCTTTCATGTAGAAGAAGAAGGAAAGGGAAAAGATGCTTCTGGGAATAAGGTGAGATTAAAAGTATGATATACATATAAAAATGCACAAATTTTAAGTGTAGCTTAACGAATTATCAAAAAGTAAACATACCTGTGCAACCAAGTTCAGGTAGCTTTGAAATATCTTTGAAAAATATGTGAACTCCATTCAGATATAAGTGTATTTTATGAATATGCTAGTTTCTGATGGATGGTTCCTTTGTTATATACATTCTGCCTAAGAAATATGAGAACTTTTCCTTGACAGTTAATTTTTTTCAGAGAGATAATTACAGCAGACGAGTAGGCTGTACTTCCTAAGTTCTTAGAGTAACCATTTCACAGGATGGTTGTGGGGGTGAGTATCCGTGCTGCCACCAATTGTTCCTCCAGAAGAGCCAGTTTTAGAATTTTTTGTTTGTAAGTCTAGACTAGAACACAAATTTTTAAGCAATAATATACCCTGATGATTTGTGGAAGAAAAATTTGTATTCGTATTTGGAAAGAAAATTAGCATATAGCTTGATTTTAGATCTTTTATTTTTTCAGTTTTATTTTGTTGCAAATATACACAAGAAAGCAGTTTCTACATGTACACTTCAGTGACACTGACTACATTCTTCAAGTTGTGCAACCATTCTCACCCTCATTTTCTGAGTTGTTCTTCCTGCCTGTCTAATCTTGTGAGTTGTTGTTATCATCAGTTTGATCCCATAAAGTTCTTAAAAATGTGTAATGCTCACAACAGGCATATTTTACTAGTTAAGTTAAATTATTGTTTGGAGATATTTTTGGTTTAAGGTTTAAAGATATTTCAGGGCAGTAGTTTCAGGGACTCATCCAGCCTCCATGGTAAAATCTAGAGTCCATGAGAATTTGTAGTTCTTTTCTGCATTTTCTCCCTTTTCATCAGGATTCTTCTGTAGAACCTTTGATCAAAATGTAATGGTAGCCAGGCACCATCTAGTTCTTTTGGTCTCATGACAAAGGAAGTAGTTGTGTATAGAGATAGTTAGCCACACATTCAATTTCCTCTTTCGCTGTTGCTGTAGGAGAATGTTGTTGTTGTTAAGTACCTTGGAGTCGGTTCCAACTCATAGTAACCCTGCATGGGGTTTCCGAGGCTGCAAGTCTTTACGGGAGCAGAAAGCCTCATCTTTCTACCGCAGAACAGCTGGTAGTTTAGAACTGCCGACCTTGAGGTTAGCAGCCCGATTCGTAACCACTACGCTACTAGTAGAGACTAGTAATTGTTGTGCCTTGAATGGCTTTTTGCATTGAGTTTGGTACTTTTAAAACATTGAATTTAATTTAGTATAATTGGGATTTTCTTATATAATAATTTATCTCACCAGAAATGTACTGTCCTAAGTCAAGTGGAAAGGGACTGTCTTAGTTATCTAATGCTGCTGTGACAGAAATACCACAAGTGGGTGATTTTAACAAGTAGAAATTGATTTTCTCACAGTTTAGGAGACTGAAAGTTCAAATTCAGGGTTCTGGCTCTAGAGGGTGGTCCTTATCTCTCTTCAATTTCTGTGGCTCTGGCATTCCTTTTTCTGGCATCAGTTTTTCCTGGGACTGGGCAGTTATTAGCTCAGAGACTCTGGGTCCAAAGGATGGGCTCCACTCCCAGCTTTTCATTCTTGGTAGTAGTGAGGTCCTCTCCTTTTTGTTTTCTCTTCTTATAAGTTAGATAAATGATGGTCAAGATGATATTTCCTTGGGCTTAACTAATTAGGTATCATCCTCATTTTAGAAAGAAACCAAGTCTCAGGAAATTAAGAGGTAGTGGTGCTGTTGCCTGGATCAGCAAACTTTCTATAAGGCCAGATGGTAAATACTTTTAGATTCTGTGGCCACACAATCTGTTACAATGACATGGTCTTTGTTAGAACTTTAACTCTGCCAATGTAGAGCAAAAGCAGCCATAGACAATCGGCAAGTCACATTACTATGACCCGACAAGCAGAATTTAAAAAATTAATGATAAAGCAATTCCTTGAAAATGACTTTTGAAATTCTGGATCACTAGAAGGGAAGTTGAAGACACTCTTTAGTGCTTTCCACTTAAAAAGGTCTTAGTATCTTAAGAAACAAAATATTATCAGACTATCTTAATTTCTTTTTATATTTCTGACATTCCTTAAGGTCATCAGCAGTGCCTGCTTTCATTCAGTTTCTTTTCTTAGCATAATAGGCTTTGATCTTCCTATCCTGCCCTTGCTTGGTCTTGCTACAGTAGTAGAAGTCAAATACTGACGTTAGTAGCAGTCAAATACTTACCTTAAGTTTGTTGTTATTAAGTGTCATTGAGTCGATTCTAACTTGTGGTGACAACACTGTATAGGGTTTCTGAGGAGTGTGGTGGGTTTGAGCTTTTTAAACCTCTTGTTTAAAAGCTAGAATAATCGGTTCATCATTTCCTGAATAAAAGGTTTTGCTGTAATTTTTTAGTTGCCTGTTGCCAATTCTAATCTCATAAGTTTGTGCATCTTGAGTTTCAGTTTTAAAGGGTGCCAAACTTAAAGGTATGGTGTGGCGCTGTAGGATAGGCATTGGACTGCTAACCAAAAGGATCAAACCGCCAACCTTGTGGCTCGCAGCCCAGTGCTGATTTTACTATTTACAATAGTAAAAATTAAAAATATCCTTTTTTTTTCATGTTCAACATATGTCTGGCAGTAATGAACCCTGGAGTGTGGGGTAAGAATTATGCTGTGATGGTTGTTTATGTTATCAACTTGACTGGACCATCATTCTTAATGACTTATCATTATTGTTAGGTTCTCAAAACCAGGTTGTTATGCAAAACTGGAGGATGACCATGTTAGATCACAAAAGGAGAATGACTGCATCATTATATAACTGCCAAGTTACATCATTGCATAATTGTCACATTCATTGTTATATAACTTCCAAACCATTGAGAATCATGATGATCTAGTTAAATTGACACTCAAGTGAGGAATAGATGTATCCCCTTTAACCACTGTGAAATGTTTCTGAGGTCCTTAAATTTAGTGATGACCTTTTCTGCTATGTTTACATCTGGGTTCTCTGTCCCAGTCTGTCCTTATTGATTTTTTGAATGCTGTGTATGAAGACCTCTATCCCCTTTGCAAAAAAGGCCTTAATAGCCAGCTGCTTGTGACTTTTTCCTTAAAAAGCTGTAACTTTTTAAGGAAATTGTTTTTAAATGAGGAAATGAGTGAAGATAAGGAGAGAGGGAGGGATAATCATAATTTTGTCTAAGAGTATAGAGGATAGTGGGATGTGGTCAGTTTCATACTATATCCACTTTGTTTAGAGGTTAATTTATGGTTCAGTAATCTTGTATTTACAGTTTGAGAGAAGATGAGGGAGAGCAGAAACATGCAGAAAAGACCAAGAGAAGAAAGGGCAGATCTTTTTGCTAGTTGTAAGGAAATGCTGTCCTAACATCTCTGGGTCTTTTGAGTTATTTAAGAGGACTGGTGTTATGAAATGCATTTACAATTGTCTTTGGAGTCATAACTTTTGTTTGTTTTTCTCTGTAGGTTAAAGCCAAGCCAATTGAAATAGAAGCTTTTCAGGCTTCACTTTCCAAACTAGGGGATGTCTATGTCAATGATGCTTTTGGCACTGCACATCGAGCCCACAGGTACCAAGAGCCTTTGTCCAATGTTGGGTGAGAGCACTGTTTCTGTTTCCTCAAGCAACCAAGCTCTGGGTTGCTTTTGGAAATTTCTGTATTATACCATGATTCATTGAGCTTCTACCTCTAATCTGTGTCTCTTGTTGATAACACTGATCTAAAGAGGAAATAAAAGTAAAAAGATCCTATGAATTATAGAGCGTTTCAACAAGGCATGCTAGTCTTTTTTTTTTTTTTTTTTTT